GGCAAATCTGCTTGTGAACCACTCTATAAGATATATTGCACTATTTCTAGGCAGACCGTGAATATAACACAAAATAGATTGCAGACTGCTTGCATTTTTGCATTTCAAGCTTTTAAAAACAAATAATGAAAGTTGTCTATATGTAGTCTTTTTACAAGAATATATTTCTGTCAAGTGTTCAGTGTTCTCATTTGCTTAGCCTCTCTTAATAATATATATGTTATTCAATAATTCAGTTCACCCTTTGAGGGTGAAAATTCAGAATTTAGTTTTGCTTGTTTGGGTTGTGCTGACAAGGTTTAACCACTGACAGTATTTCATTTCTATAATGCTCCAATTTACAGGATAGGAATATGTGAAAGCATTAATCTATTGGGCAAGTTCTTTTGTGCTATTTTCTTGTGCAATAATGAAAAGAAAGAACCCTTAGAACTGCATGTAAGATTTCTGGTATAGCCAATATCCAATAAACAACAGCAATGCAACTTCACCAAAATAGAGTTGATACATTATCCTGCTTTTAAGTAATGTGACCTTCATAGCAAAGCAGTTTTAAGGTCAAATTCATAATTACATGATCTTAATGACTTGCTCGTGTTGCACACTGTATCTTTAGGGCAAAGGCTTTTCTTTGCTATATAGCATAGATGCTGTTTTTCCAAATGTCTAGAAGACATTTGAACAGTGTGGAAATCGGTACTGGGATAACCCATAGGAGGAAGAAGGAACCACACAATCTCATCCTTTCCTCCATTGGGAAACTTCAATCTCATCCCAGTTCTCCTTTTAACTACAAGAAACTTTGGCCTTTATAGAAATCTAGATACAAGCCTATTTATATAAGTGAATAATAATTAAAAAAGCTTTGCTTCCAGGAGCACACAGTAGCATGCCATTGATTTCCCTTTGCAACAAAAATGATTTAATTGTGTATTTTAAAATGCTTTTTCAGTGTTATATAAAAGTTGTCTGCCAAGGGACTGTCAAGTATAGTTACCAAGCTGCCTATTCGGTGTTGTTTATTTGCACATCCCATCTGAGCTGAGTTAAATGAATCTGCTATTCTTGAAAACTTGAGTGTCTGTCAGATGGAAGACAGAAGAAAAATGAGAATACAGCAGTTCATTTTTATTTAGGAATTGCCATATGCTGCCACCACTGTCTAAAAAATTCTTCTGCCTCAAAAATCTCAAATTTTGTATATTCCATTTGTAATATTCTCCTTTTGATGACTTGAAAGTTGGTACTAAGTTGGAGCTGAGAAGGGAGCCAATTCTTTCCACATTCCTACATAACATATTGTGACTCACCTGTTTAAAAAATAATTTCACCAAACCATGAAGATTTGGAGAGTTAATTAACTAATAAAACAGCAGACACAATTGACATGAGATAGTTGCAGTATATTATTTCACAACTAACCCCCAGTAGTCAGCAATATGTCCTCAATGTGAATATTTTTGCACGAAGCAATTTTATATTCTTGGCTTTGAAAGCTGTTGCTATACAGCTTTATACAGTAATATGTTGGCTTTTCTGAACAATCTCTATCCAAACATAATCAAAATATGTGATGTGTAACTGTAAAATTGCAATACAGTATAGCTTTTTGACTTCTGTAGCTACCTGGCTACATAAGTATCGTGTTGGTTTTGGCTATTTCTCTTGGTGTCTCAGAACACTAAATGAAAGTGCATATTTTAAATAGATTACATAAAATAATAAATGGGCAAAAATGTTTTAAAAATATAAGAATTCTTAAAAATATAAGAAATAAATAGGTGCATATTTTGGGAAGGTGATATAATTGTTCTGAGCCTTTGGCGTTGTTCCCTTTGCACTTCTGAATTGGGTTCATTTGCTAGCCCACATGCAAATTGGCAGCTTTAGTGCTGATAGACTTTCTGTGTGGTGGAGAAGCAAGTTATTACCAGTAGTTGAATGGTGGGGATTCCCTTATGAGGCTCTTTTATGATCAGCACTATCCTTCTTTGTGTTAGCCAATCTGGTGGAAGCCTTCTACTAGCAGTTGGTTCATCTGTGCTGCTAGCCATTCATGTACTGCTGTTAGCCAGTAGGTCTGGATCAAGTCTGGGTCAGGTAATGTCCAGCTCTTCAAGTTTGTGACTCACTGTTGCATTTCTGCTACTGTGATGGTGACTGCTTTCTGTTCTGGAAGATTTCTGGGATCTGCTCCAGATCCTGCAGCCAGTTTGCACTGATATTTGTCTTCTCTTTCTTACAAATGTTCTTACAATACTGTTCAGTTTTTGTTGGTGGTGGTTGTACTGTTAATGGGTTTATTGCACTACAGTTGGAAAAATACCTTGGATAGACTGAAAAATTGAATTTCAAAAAAACAACCTGCCAATGAAATACTTTCTTTTAGAATAATAAATGCCACAAGACAGAGTGCTCATATATTGCTGACCTTTGATTCTTCCAAAATGTTTTCTAACAACTCATAACATAATTTTTTTTATCTACAGTATCACAATCCTCACTAGAGAGGATTTATTTGAGCAGAAAGTTTGACTCAATCTGAGCAAACCTTTATTTTTCTGATTGGAAGTCTACCAAGAGGATAAAAATGAACTTTCCATCTTGGAAGAAATAGAATCTGTACACAGTAGTGATAGCTAAGAAAATGAAACTGAAATAGCAATGTGTAAGTCTCTTTGTCATATTGCAATTTTTTCCTGGTTTTTCTTAGTTCTTTTACTAAAAGAGGGAGCTTGGAAAAGTTAAAGGTCAGACTATATGACTTAATTTTATTTTTAGACTGATGGATTATTCTGTCTTCCAACTTTTATTTCTTGTCAGTATACAGAATTAACAGATAATAATGAAGACCTTTTTTAAAGTGAGTTCAGTTAGTATATATTATTGCCTGACAAAAATATACTTTAATCTGTATTAACGATACCAAATATATATAATATTACAGGTAGTCCAACTTAACAGTTGTAATTTTGGTTACTGAGTTACAGCATTATGTGACTGTGCTGCTTAGTGACAGCAGTTCCTGCATTTCCAGTTGCTGTTGCTGTTATTAAGCAAATTCTGCAATGCCATTAAGCACGGTGTCACATAGTCACCATTTCCTACCTCCTTCTGATTCCCCAAATACTTTTCTTGTTGGAAGGTGGCAATGAAGGTCAGAAAAGGCGATCAGAAATTATGATGTCACTGCAGGATGTTATGACATTATAATTTTAAGATGGTCACCAGGTGGCCAATTGTAATCACATGAACATTGGTATGCTGCCACAGTTGTTCAGCACTTGTATTAAACAAGGACCGCTTGTGGTTCAGCACTTATATTAAAATGGTCACTGAACAAATGGTTGTTAAGTAAGGACTGCCTGTATGACTGGGGCATATGGCTACATATATTCTTAATGTAGTATAGTGAACTTAGATCAATATAATATGCTACAAAAATGAATACTTTGTATTGTTTTGTATTTATTTTTTTATACTATAGCTTCAAAATTTTACACTTGTATGTATGCAAAATAATTACAGTATCTGCGAAATGTGTAGACTTTGAAAGATGCACTGTGCATTGTGCATGTGTTTTAGCTATGGCATTGCAGTAATCTGCTGTACATTCCTTTTTTGATGTTTTTAGCTCAGAAGCAAGCTTTCTAGCACGTGATTTGTATTTTACTCAAAGTATTTTACTTTAGTGTATATGGCTTGAAAAGTAAAAGATTGATAATTAAACTATTTCAATATTTGTTAAACTGATACTCTGAAATATAATGTATTTGTATTATTAGTTTGCTTTTTTTAAAAATTGCATTATTTCCATTTTTAATTAAATATAAATAATGTAATAGTGAATTTCAATTTAGGATGGGAAGCTGATAGGTGTGATCCCAGTCCTAAAGATTAAAGTCACTGGCTGAAAAGTACAGGAAATTCCTCTGTAATCTGATGAAATTTCAGATAGAAAGCAGGGTCCAGCTCCAGAAAACTGCAATCAAAGAAACTTTACAGATTAATTCATTTCCGAACACAATCTTTGAATAGCCTCAACTGTTTGAATGACAAGCTTTATTTCATGATATAATTTTTTTCTCAATAAATTTGTCTGGTGGTGCTATCATTTTCACACTTATTTCATAGTAACCGATTTCATAGTATTTTGATTTATTTTTTCGATGTCTCACAAATGTTAACTCTGGGTGAAGTACAATAAGCAACCAGTTAAAACCATTAAAATAACAATAAAACAAAACAAATAAAAATAATAATACAAAGGGTTTATTTGTTAGCCATGTCTGGAGGTTTTATATGCTCACACTGTTTCTTGATTATGAAAACTGTGTACAAAATTAAATAATGTGGCAGATATTTCCATAAATACAAACCTCACTCTTTTACACTAAGTATGCAGATGGAATAGATGCACTGTTTTGGCTTTTCCAGTACACAGATATACAAAAATGTTATTTCTATTATCCTTTTCTTTTTTCTTTTTAATACCATTCAGTTTTTTACTAATATTTCAGATTTTCTTCTAGGCATTTACATTATTAAAAATTATTTTGTACTGAAATAGAATAAGCCTGTATGCTTACATTTATAAGCAAAATTAGAATGTGGGATGATATTTCGTATGTAAATTCATTTGGAGGTAGTTTTAAATTAGCTACCTTAACCCAAAGCTGCTTTTTAAAAGGCAGTTAGATTTTCTTCTTTTTTTTCCTTAAAAACATTTCGCTTCTCATCCAAGAAGCTTCTTCAGTTCTGGATGAGCTTCTTGGATGAGAAGTGAAATGTTTTCAAGGAAAAAACCAAGAAAGTCCAGTTGCCTTTTGAAAAACATCTTTGGGACAACCCTGACCTGGATGATTGAGAATAGACATTTAGCTAGCCTTAAATGGTATTTAATGTATAACTGTTAGAATACCTCAAATTTGGGCATATTTCTTCTTTGCTGTCTTCATTTTTTATTATTATTATTAAATATCTTTTCCCCCTTCTTTTAGACAATTATCTCTTGGTGCCATAGCACATGGATTTCAGGACTGCATGTGAAGAGGTAGTGCAAATTTTTCTAACTTAAGCATGTACATATGTACTTATTTTATCTCGCTTATTCTCATTAAAAAACCTTGTGTGGGGTATTATATGAATTATTAAATGGAGATTTGCATATTTAAAAATAAAGCAAAACTTTATCAGCTTCATAGCCAGGGCAGGGACAAGCGACTTCTCAAACTTCCATTCTTTGAATGCTTTTGTGTTTACAAAATCAAGCTTCATACAAATGCAAAGATGATTTTAATAGGGCTACACTTCACTTAATATCATATCTACAATTATAACCATATATATATAAGAAAACAATGAACCATAAAAAAAATCTCTTTATGTGTTCATGGACACATTTATGCATGCATTCTTTTTATTCCCTTTAATTCCATGCTGACCATTGGACTATGAATGTGGTATGCAAAGCCTTTATTTTTCATTTTCTTTACCGAGCTTTTTCTACATTTATCTCCTAATCTTCCACTTCCTTCTTTTCCATATTCTAGCATCATTAAGAACTAATTATAAATAATGCTAGAATTTTTTTTAAAAAAAGTGTTAAGTATGACTAATAATGAATTTATTAGCATTAACCCAAAACAAAAGAATATGAGCTTTAATTTATATGAGGCTCATCTGTCAGTTCCCTGTATGAGGAATTGAACTCATGGGTCATTGCATTTTTTATGTGATTATAGGCAGTGCATTAGTTTTAGAAGGTCTTCAGGCTCTGGAGCTCAGGAGTGTTGGTAGGTGGAATATATAGAGGCCATCTTTAAAATACTCGATATAGCATACTTTTTTTCTTAAACTCCCAGACTGGAGATACAGGTATTATATTAGGTCATGCTTTCATGTATGAGGTACATGTATAGAGAAATTCCTTTCCATCACCAATAAAGGACAGAACTCATAAAACCGCATACATGAGGACATGATGCAACTTCCATATCTCTCTAGTTTGAGAGTGTAAGTAAAAGGAAGGAGACTTAGAATAATGGATAAATTTGAATAAGAATGGAATAAGATGATTAGAAACTATTCAGATAATTACAAACAGTTTTGAATTAGCAAGCTACTATAAAAAGTGAAAAAAGACAAAAGCCCAGGATGTGTTCTTCTAAATATCCCTGAAGTAGCTCCCAGCGTCCGGTAAGATCCCACAGAGTTGGTCTCTTCCGGGTCCTGTCAGCTAAACAGTGCCGGCTGGCAGGCCCGCGGGAGAGGGCCTTCTCTGTGGCTGCCCCAGCTCTCTGGAACCAGTTACCTCCTGAGATCCGGACTACCCCACCCTATTGGCCTTCCAGAAAGCGGTGAAGACCTGGCTTTTCCGGCAGGCCTGGGGCCGTTGATCTCGCTTTGCAATCTTGCAAGATCTGGCCATGAATGGTGTGCATGGGCTTTTAATGTTTTTTAAAATGTTTTTATAATGTTTTTAAATAATTTTTCTATGTTCATTGTTCACATTATTTTTGCTGTAAGCCGCCCAGAGTCCCTTGGGAATTGAACAGCATAGAAATGTAATAAATTAAATTAAATTAAATTAAATTAGTGTGTCTGCAAAGTGGGATCAGAAATCGATGCTACTGATAATTAAATGTCAAGGTCAAGCTCCATGCATGCATATATGTTTTCTTTTCTTTTCGTAGGCCTTTATGTGTATTTCTCTTTAGCCAGGTTCTTCCTACGTAAACCAAGATTTTTATGCAGCCCTAGTTCAGTAAAATCACAATCCACTAGTTTCTAGGCTATTATTTCTGGCTGCCAGCAAACACTCTGCTGGCTGCCAGAAAAATTTCTGCCAGAAAAATTTCAGATTATATAAATATAATCAGCACGATTTATTGTAGATCTGAAATAAATTAGAATTCTATTCCTTCTAAAGGCTAAAACATGTCTTATTTATATAAATCACTGCTTTTTAAAGTCAGAACTGGAATAATAGTTTAAGGATGTATTGTATAGCCGCAGCTATTGTACTGTGAAATAACACTAGGGGGTCATATCAATGAACTGTGTTTTTGTGTTTGCTGAGATGTGTTTTGTTTTTGCTTTTCTCATGCTTGATTTCCTTATTCATTCCGAATAGGTTTTGCCTGTGTGCGTCCCACTGCTCACTCTTATTTTAATTTCACTGTGATGCTTAATTAGGCCTACTGTATAGTTAGATGTTATTTAATTCTTGCCCCTAGCTTTTTTCATCAAGCTGCTTGGGAGATTTTATAAGGTAATTAGCCAGGAGACGAATATACAGTCAACACAACATAACTATATACATTTTTTTTCAAGAAATGTTATGCCAAAAAACCATCATATGAATTAGGAACTGTTCTTCCAAAATACAGATCAACACACATTTCTGTCATCCAGCTAACCTTATTTGGTGGAGATTAACAGATTAAAATGTCACTCTGTATTTGTTTTCCATCATTCCTGGTTGTTGTTTTTTTTCTGTTTCCTGAAAGCCATATTTGTTTTCTAAGTTGCTATCATGAAGTTCAAATTGAAAGAAACAAGAAATTTAGAGAGAGGGGTGTGAAGAACCAGCGTCAGTCATAAAGTTCTAAAATTGAGAACATGACATTGATTCCAGGTCTGCACACAATGCTCAGACATGAGTTTGCTGGAATGGATAAAATGTAACATTTACTCTTAATATTTAACATTTATTGGCTGACATAATGACTGCAGATTTTATAACAGCCCTCCAGGGGTACTGGACTACTTTTCCTTGTATTTAAAACCAGTACAACTGAAGGCTGATCTGGTTGAGGAAGAGTATTAGAGTCTATAATGTACTGAATAGGTGTACAAACTTGTTCCTTATTTCAAGAAACAGTTCGCTTCCAATGGGATTTCCATAATTGGATGTTTATGCACCTGGCTTATACACCTCTACAAAGAGGTTGTAAGATGTTGAATATCTCTGTCAGAATATCTCTGTCAGAAATTCAAAAGAGGAAAAGGACGATGAAGTCAGAGATCATTGCACCCTCCAAGCATATAAACTGTCCATCCAGAAAATCCCACATACCCTTAAATTCCAATGAAAAGAAGATGAACATCAGCAAAATAATGAGTCAATTTATTTTTTTTAGAAAAAGAAATTAGAAAAGTTTTGAAATAGAAAGTTTACAACCTGTTTTTTTTTTTTTAATTTGATTTATATGCCGCCCTTCTCCAGAGACTCAGGGCGGCTTACAATGCGTTAAGCAATAGCCTTCATACTTTTGTATATTTATACAAAGTCAGCTTATTGCCCCCACAAACTGGGTCCTCAATTTACCTACCTTAGAAAGGATGGAAGGCTGAGGCAACCTTGAGCCTGGCGAGATTCGATCTTAATTTAATTGCAGACAGCTGGTGTTAAATTACAGTGCTTCTGTCTGTTGAGCTATCCAGGCTCTTTCCTTGTAGGTTATACAACATTTCTAATAGCCATATGGGCCTTGGTCTTTCCAGAATAGCTGTGGATTAATTTTAATTAATTAATTAATTCACAAATCTAGGCTACAATCTGAAAAGCACTTGTATTGAATTTGTTTTTGGACATTGAAGAGTTATTTACTGGATTATAATAATAAAACAGAGGGATCATTAGTGGAACTTTTTATAGTGTTTCTGTGATCCCAGTTAAGGTCTTGGCTGTTGAGTAATCCTAATAATTTTAGTTAATCAAATGCTGTAACTTTAACAAAAAATTATCAGGTTGCTACTCTATCAAATAATGTGCAAATTGTATTTTATATGCCTATGTAGGATACTGAAACATAAGCCCTGCTATTACAAAAGGGTTTTTTAGTTTATGATCACATTTTAAAAGTTTTAGTCCTTCATCCATGTACGAAGCCCAGATACTTTCAATATTTAAATGTTACTTAATGTCTGAGTTTCCAAACTTTTATTAGTAATTTTTGCCTTGCATGTTTCAATATTTCTGATAATTGGGAGAATTTTAATGGATCGTTTGAGATATACCTTATTTTATTGGTTTTACTGAATATTCCAATTAAAAACTAAAGGAAACTATTTTTGATCCTTAGAATAAATAGTCCATAAACAATTAGACAACTAATAAAACTTTTTTCTTCTTCTGCCTTTTAAAGTCAAAGACAGGGATTTGTTTGCTACAGGATGGTAATCAGGAGCCTTTCAAAGTGCGGCTGCACTTAGCCAAAGATATTTTGACAATTCAAGAACAAGATGTCATCTGTGTGTCTGGTGAACCATTTTATTCTGGAGTAAGTAACATGATTCATAGTATCTTCCAGATTAAAGCTGTTATACATTTTGAACTTTCAGAGTTGTTTTTCCACATAGAAATAGCAAAGTAGATGAAGTGATATATACTGAATTCAGAATGAATATTGTGTCTTTAAAAAAACAGCACTCAGGGAGATAAACTAGGAAGACTTCCTGTTTCTTTCTTCTGGAATAAGATCTCTTGATCTTTGGTTTCAGGCTTGCTTCTGGCTTCCATTTTGGTTCTGATTAACATCTTGTTCCATGACTTCTTCTTAATTTTACATTGTTCCCCCACAATCTGATGAGTGCAGATAGATAGTATAAAAATACAGTGGTGGGATTCAAATAATTTAACAACCAGTTCTCTGCCCTAATGACTGGCTGGGTGGGCATGGCCATGGTGGGCATGACCAGGGGGTGTGACAGGCAGCACTCAGCCTCCTGCACCCCCCTGGGAGCAAAAATGGACCACGGGGGAGGGGAATGCATCGCACCCCTCATGCCTCATTTTGGGCCTAGGAGACCTACCTGAAGCCTCCTAGGAGCAAAAATGGACCACGGGGGAGCATACCGCTCCCCCTGCACCCCATTTTTGGCCTAGTAGGCCTCCCTGCACTTACCTGGGAACCAAAATGTGGTGCGTGGAGACTCCTGGAAGGGAAGGAGAGGGGCCAACCAGCAATTTAACTACCAATTCACTCAAACCGGCCCAAACCGGCTGAATCCCACCACTGTAATATATTAATAGCATAATGTCATTCAGAATAAGTCATTTCAAGCACCTTTTGTAAGAATGGAATGGTATAATGGGATAATAAATAAATTGCTTTAAGATAAAGAAGCCAGAGAAAAAATGTTTTATTAAGAATACACTGAACAGCACTGGATGATTGAGGTTAAAAGATTGATTAAGCAAGTAAAGATAAATGAGGAGAATTTAGGAAGAGAATTCATGGCTTCACCTTATGAATTATCCTATGTAATATACCAATAAAAACCTATTATCGAATTATATCTGATTTTACATATTAAAAGTTTCACAATTTTATCTAATAAGCTGGAACATCTACTTGATATATTTCTTGAACATTATGTACAGGTTAAAGTTATGTGCAATTCATTACCTAGTTTATATCCATTGGATAATGGAATTTACTATTTTTACCAGAGAAATAGCTCCAGGATTTTTTTCCTCTGAAGAAGCTTTTTTACATGTACGAGGTAGGGGGGGAAATTTCAAACTTCACCAAGATACTTCTTCCAGTGGCTTCCCAGTTTTGTTTTGTTTTCCTTTGCTTTTGCTTTCTTTTTTCTTTTTTTTAAAATTAAGATAAACTGGCACTATTCAGGTTAAATCTTTGGCTATGTTCCGGCTGGAAAGTTCTTCATCATTCCGTAAAGGACCAATCTCTTAAGGAAAATCAGAAAAGGCACTTTGGGTTTCCTTATCCAAAAAACCTAGAAATAAACATTACAACAAATCTGAAATACCAGAGGTAGCACTCCCATCATGTAGGCTTTAACATGGGGAAGTTTGAAGGAGAAATTTCTTTAAAATAAAACTCTGGTTAGAAATGTATTGGGATATAAAAAGAACTGGAAAAAACAACCAGTACACACAGAATTCCAAACAAAATCTACAATGTCGATGTAACAAGTTCCACAGATCTTGGACCCCAAAATATAGGCAAGGCTCACTGAGTGAGGATGGCTCCAAAGAATTTTTTTGCTGGAAGATTATTAATTCAGCTTGTTTTCCCTTATTTCTTCTTTAACATTTTTCCTGTAGAGCTATAATCTAATGATGTATAGAAGACCCTGTTGTGGGTGACATATCCATGTTTGAACAATTCGGTCAAAACACTCAGTTTTGGATGCCTGAAAAAATAATAAAATAAAATAAAATAAATCATTAAATAGGCTGTTATGCCAAATCAAAATATTGAATTTGTCACACCTCTTTATGTTTTTTTTTTCTTTAATATCAGTTCCTAAAAAACACAATGTTCACTCTTATTCTTATTAGTTGCCAACACAACACCGGCAATTTGGCCACAGATTATTATCAAATTATTCAGCATAATGAAAGCTAAATTCAGAACAGGAAAACAAAATGCTTAGGAAGCTTGAATATCTCCCTCATTATGAAAGATTAGACCATTTGGGTCTCTTAACAGAGAAAATTGTAGAGTGGTCAAGCTATATAACATCATAGTATGAAGACAGTGAATTGATCTCTCAAAATACTAGGAGAAGAAGTGACTCCAGGAAGCTGCTGGGAATATTTAAAAGAGATGTTTTACATTGTTCTCCGTACAGAATATAATTAATCTGTGGTGATGGGTATTAAATTGGATAACTTTAAAGAGGATTACCTAAATTCACAGAATGCAGGTCTATCATCTTGAAGTGTATTATACTTGGATTGCAGCAAATTGTCTACAAATGCCTGCTACATGGGAACAGTGTTAAAATGTAAGAGCTATTTTCTGTGATTTTGTTCAATTTCCTTTTAAAGCTAATAATGTTAATAGCCAAGGCCTCAAGTTAATTATTCCTGTATACACCTGGTTGGCTCATATGAGAAACAAAATGCTGAATTTATGCAGATTCTGGCCCAATGCAGCAAGGCTGTTCATAATGCTGATTTTAAAAAAACATTGCCTTACGTTGGTCAATAGAACATTTGAGAAGACCTAATGCGTAATTACAGAGATTTAGATGTTGAAAAATGACTGCATATATAGCTTTGTGTTATGCGTTTATAGTTGAATCACCCAGAAAATAAACAAATACAACTTAAGTGCAGTACTTCTCAGTTAATGAAACTGGAATTTCCATTGCTAAATGATGCAGTTATAAAGCATGACATTATGTGACCACATTGCTTAGGGATGGTAATTCTGGAACTTCCAATTGCTATTGTTAGGCAAGGATCACAGGTCATTTGGTGGGTATCTCCTGCCAATTTCCTACTGGCTTTCAACAAGCAAAGTTGGTAGGAAATTAAAACTCCCAGCCTGCTCACAAGCAGTGGTGATGGGCAAGCAGGCTGGTGGTCAAGTAAGTAGCTGCTGCTGGCTGCAGGAGGGTGTGAGAGTGGCCAAGTGGCACAGTGCAAACATAATGAAACTTGTGGCTGCTGCAGGGTGCAGGAGAGTCCAGCATGTCACATGTGGGTGGAGACAGGATTTCTTGCTGCAGAGTGCAAGATGCTGGCATGGTATAAGCATGGCATGATATAAGCATGGCATCTCTTGTGGCTACTGCAGAATATATGAAAGTGCACAATGGGCCAGCGAGACATGATGCAAGGGGCTGAGGGTGGCTGCTGCAATGTAGAGGAGACGTATCCAAACGATTTGCAACCTTCTTTGCTATAGTTTCCCCATTGACTTTGCTTGTGGGAAGCTAGCAGGGAAGGTTTCCAATGGTGAACCATGAAAAGCTATGGGAACAAACTCACTGCAACCATATAAGTGAAAGCCAGTTGCCAAGCAACCAAATCTCCATCATATGAGGGAATGATGGCTGGAACTTTGAGGGCCAGTCATAACTACCTCACTTTCAGCACTGTTGTAACTTTGAACTGTCATTGAAAAATGGTCATTAAACTAAGGGCTACCTGTATTTGTGTATTGTCATTCAGATTGCCACTTTAGGTATATATGTTTTGCAATTTCATATGACAATACATATATGAAATTCAAAACTCGATAATGGTTATATAGCACAAAGCCAAAAAGAGACAATGCAGTGTGATTGTAGTTGTTTTTAAGGAAATGTTTCAATCTGATTTATTTTCAGGAAAGAACTGTAACAATTAGAAGACAAACTGTAGGAGGATTTGGATTAAGTATAAAGGTAGTATGATATTCTTTCTATTGCTGTGTGTGTGTGTGTGTGTGTCTGATTGTATCAAGCATGGATTTTATATTTTGGGGAATATGTTTAATAAGATTAAAGGGTTGTCATTGTATTATATTCTTCTTTGTCCATTCAGTGTATCATGAAAGCTTTTATTAGAGGTTTATTTACTTTTACAAAACTTTAGACAGTCACTCAAAGTGTGGTCTTAAGTGGAACTTAAAATGGGTCAGTAAAAGAGTTAAAATAGCTGTCACATTACAACCAATGAATAAATCTGCAATTCTGCATTCTTTGAAACTTGCTTGTTAATAAAACAGAAAATATTATTTTGGTATTATCAATTTTGCTGTACGTACGTTAGATATATAAAATTATCCAATTCTCTTATGATGATAAGGTTGAAAAATATGTTGAGAATACCAGACTGAAAGATAATGCAATGGGCACTTCCTTATTCCATTATTATATAAAAAAGTATGTAATAAACAGGCACTCTGTTATTAAGCTGGTTATTAAGACCAGCTGCCTGCAATTACTGCAGGTTCGAATCTCGCTAAGGCTCAAGGTTGACTCAGCCTTCCATCCTTTCTAAGGTAGGTAAATTGAGGACCCAGTTGTGGGGGCAATAAGCTGACTTTGTATAAATATACAAAAAGGATGAAGGCTATTGCTGAGCACATTGTAAGCCGCCCTGAATCTCCGGAGAAGGGCGGCATATAAATCAAATTAAAAAAAAAAAATAGAGTGCTGCCCAAAATTGCAATTTACTGTCCTTTCATGCAGTGAGAGATAAATATAAATCATGAAAGTATTTTCCCCTGAAATAATTGCATAAAGCCTGAAATAGAAAATGTATTAATAGTTTGTGATATAATGCTTTTGATAGTCATCTTTCGCTACTAAAAGTTTCAGTCAAAACATCAATATTTATGGATGTTTTTAGCAAATTAGGAAATTAACTTTTATAGTTGCTTTGTTTCTGCTTCTTGAGTTCTTCTAATCATTTTCCACCATTATATTTTCCAAACCTAAACTTGTGATATGAATAGCTGACTATCTCAAAATAACAGCTAAGGGTCTGATGCAAAAGTTTTGTCTTACCCTTGTCACTCTTTGGAACAGGCCGTGATCTGAAGACTTATTTTTAGGGGTTACCCTTGTTTCTTTAATCCAACAACAAGAAATTGCAAGCAGCTCCTTCTCTGTTGTCTGCATTTCATGTGAGACAATCACACTTGTGACATCACAAAGAGCTAGTTTCTATGCATTGTTGGTTTTTCTCTGCAGCAGAGAGCTTTTGTGTATGGATGAGTGCTTTACCATTAGAGTTCCAGTTCACATGGTAATAATAAGCTACTTCGTACAGATGACAGCACTTTAAGTATGAACGTTGTATCTTCATTTATACCATTACTATAATCAGAAGTAGGGAGCAATAGCAATAGCACTTAGACTTATATACTGCTTCACAGTGCTTTTACAGCCCTCTCTAAGCAGTTTACAGAGTCAGCATTTTGCCCCCAACAATTTGGGTCCACATTTTACCGATCTCGGAAGCATGGAAGACTGAGTCAACCTTGAGCCTGGTGAGATTCAATCTGACCAATTGCAGGCAGTCGGCTGTCAGCAGAAGTAGCCTGCACCACTGCAAAGAGCTGTTTTCAGATATTTTCATATCACATTGAATGTACAAAGAATGACTGAATGGGCTTATCTGATTAGCTTCTCCCTTCTTCTTCCTCTCAAGCCTAAGAATCACTTTCCTTAACCCCCAGAGTTGCATTATCTTCTTCCTGGCTTCAGAATTACCTCAGTGACGCTTTCTCTGAAAGCTTCCATCAAAATCTACCTTTTTAAAATTTAGAAACAGTTCATTTATTGCTGTCTCGATTGTTGCTTTGAGCTTCCGCTTAACTCACACTATCATTTTAAGATTCTGTGTTATCAAAATTGGTTCAATCAAAATATACCAGTACTTCTAAATCTGTTTTTCTAAAGTGATAAATAGTATTCACTTTCAGAGCTATCTCTAACACAAAGAAATTCCCATGACTATTGATTGTAGGTTTGATTACGTATTGCATGCAACGCACACAGAATAGTTTTATTTTTACACATTAAAAAAATCTCAAAAAGCCAATAAATATTAAGATAAAACTTTTTAAAAAAAATAACTCCAAAGGTTCTGATTCTTGAATAGTGAATTTTGGTATAGAAAAGCCAAATAGGACTGTTTAAAAAATAATTTATACTTTGAAATCCTTCATCTTTCTTTCCTTCCTGGCAATATGAATCAATGGACTGTTTAAAAAATAGAAAAATGTGCCTCCAATTTATTTTGCTTTTCATTTCTTTTTTACCCTTCAATGTGAAACAGTCATTTGTTAACTATCTTTGAATTCTTATTTTATTTTGTGCCAGATTTTCTATTCATTTTCTTATTGACTTTTATGCGTGTAAGAATGGAGAATAGAAAAATCAAAAGAAACCAGAGAAAACTTTACATTCCATTCAATCCTTCAATTGTATGCTTTTGTTTGTATTTTCTTTGCCAGCCGGACAAGAAATTGCTCACAGCACCATCCCTGTTTCAGAATTAGGCCCATTTGCTTTTTATGAAGTGGATTTGATGCCATAATATGAGAAATCTGGGAAAAGCTATATGAATTTGTATTCCTTTGTCAATCATTTCTTTTTTGTGTATGCAGAATATCATAATATTGGCAGCATTTTTTTTTCTTCTTTACAAAAGGACTGATTGCATTCATGCGGTCACTAGCAAAAAGAATGATGAAAGTTACTTTACTCATTTTGAATTTTCAAAAAAGAAGCTAAAGCAAAAGAAATGTAGTAATAGAGTATTTATAAGTTAACAGTAGACTCAATGAAGTATGATCTCTTTCTTTTATAGGGAGGAGCAGAGCATAATATTCCTGTGGTTGTTTCCAAAATTTCCAAAGAACAAAGAAGTAAGTTGTTACTCAGTTTCTTTAATAAAATTAACTATGTTTTTCTTTCTTCTTTTATTTTTTATTGCCTGATTCACAGTCTGTTTTTTGGGAGAGGGAATTTCATTATAAATGTGAGCACAACATTTTCAATGTTCATCGCTCACCAAGTGACTCAGAATACTAACAGAGATTAAAAGCAGTAGTATTAAAAACAACAACAATAAAAGTATAACATAAACCAAACGAGCAAAACATGCACTTCATAAAATTACACTGAGTCTATATAATGTGCTGATCCAGCTCCTGAAAATGAACTAGATGAATACCTGGATCCCATCAGATCAGACATTGTTTAATTGCTTGGATGTGGGCATCTGACGTCTTTGCAGATTTGTAAGTTGGACAGAGATAACTGGAGGCAGTCCACTTTTTATTCACTGTGAAGGTTTTTTTTTCCCATTTGTGAACATATATGCTCAGATTTTTCTTTTAGATTTTTAGGGAAATTAGTTAAGGCACTCTGTTTGGGTATGGGATAAACCTGCAGTTTATTTTTCAATTATTTTTCATTGTTTTATTTATATTTTGCCCCACTGATGCTGCCAGTGGAAAATTATAGAGAAGACTGAAATGAAAAATGTCCTTCCTTCCTTCCTTCCTTCCTTCCTTCCTTCCTTCCTTCCTTCCTTCCTTCCTTCCTTCCTCCCTCCCTCCCTCCCTCCCTCCTTTCTTTCTTTCTTTCTTTCAGCGGAACTCTCAGGCCTACTATTCATAGGAGATGCAATTCTACAGGTAGGTAAACAAGTTGTCTGTTAGTCAAATCCTATTTATTTATTCTGCATACCCTTTCCTCAAATTATTATTTCTTCCTCAACAGATTAATGGAATTAATGTAAGAAAATGCAGGCATGAAGAAGTGGTGAGCTTTTATAACCTTTTCTAATCCATTACAGTTTCTAATATAAATTGATGTTGCTGCACTTTTATTAATTGTTCATTATGCTCCTATATAATTTAACTCTATTTTATTCTGAGGTTGTTAAATGATTATAATATTTAGATAGTGTACCTTCTTCACTGATGTGACATCACTCATATTACATTAGGATTTTGCCATTCCATTTTTTTCTGGAGATATTTTGTAGGCACAAAGTTGTGGGAAAACACTGACTTTTGTATTCTCCCCAATTAAAAAAAATAGAAATGAAAATTTTTCTTGAGCATATTTTATTTACAGTCCTCTAGGAAGAGGGAAAATGCCATTTTTCTGTTGCCTGTAACATTTGAGACTACTTGCCTAGTTTGAGAAGCTCTCTATGTAGGCTTGAAATATTGTAAGACTACACTCTTTCTCATATAGTTCTTACTTTAATAAGACAAATGAAGTGTCACAGGACAGCAATTTATTTTGAAGGATTTTTTAGATGTTATTTTAAACCTTCAGGCATTACAAGGACATTAAAAATCTTTCCTCATGTTTTATCTTCAGAACATATGATATACAAGATAAAAGGGTCAGAGAGACAAGACAAAATCAAGAATACACAGTTTCCATTAAGTTATTACAGATATAAGATATATATAAAAATCACAAGCTTGATGTGAAGATTTTATTTTTGCACCTCATTATAACTGTTTGAACTAAATACATAAATAAAATTCTCACTTGTGTCAATAGGAACTTTAGTTCAATGTAAATAGCTGGTATGGAAGTCTAGCTCTGGTCCAGATTGCTACCATAATGGGAGTTAAAAATGTTAAAGTCTCTCTTATCCCATCAAACTATTGATTCAGGTCATAGTACTTGTTCTTGTTAAGGTCTTATTACCAGTAACTAAAATAAACTAAGGTCTATTTTAGTTACTGGTAGCTATCTTTAAAAATTAGAGGGTGTATGATCAAGGAATTTAAGAATGTATTCAGGAGGTTCAATCTGATAATCAGTCAAGTTGAGAAACTCAGGTTGATTCTTGAGTTGATTTTTAAATTTTCCTGAACCCATTGAAAAATTTTTTAAAAATTTTCCAACCATTCTAATATATATTTATCTAAATTCTTAAGAAGAAAGAAGTTTGGTATAAGAATGTACACAAGCATGCACAACAAACACATACACACACAAACACGGATATATGTTATTTGGCTACGAAATCAATTCTATCACCTTCAGTTCTATTAACTCACCCTTCTTTTATAACATCTAGAATACCATGAGGTCACCTACCATATAGTTCAAATGGACTATGTCCATTTGGGGTACTTCTCTATAGGCAAATAATAAGTATAGTAGCCAAGTATTCCAGGATTTAGGATTTTGCCCAGCAAATTTCTTTAGCATTTCTTTTGATGTCTGATTCATTTGTTCAGTAAAACCATTATTTGATGATGATATACAGTACTGTAGGGAATAATCTTTTAAAACAAACAGATACACCCTAAAATTGTAATATTTTTTTTAAAAAGTTACAGGGATACATTTGCTTTGTTTCCACTGCTTTGAATATATTATTCCAGGTAGTCTTCAACTTATGTGGTTTAAGTCAAATTGTGGTTTTAAGTCATTGAAATTATATGTCAAGGCATCGCATGATAAGAGCCGATTTTGACATTTTTTGCAGAAGTTATTAAGCAAATGCCATGGTTGTTAAACAAATCCATTCTGTCCAGTGGGAGGGATTTATTTTTTTTTGCTGGAAACTAAAAATAAATGACAGAAATTGACAAAAAATGTCAAAAATTGCAGTCATGCGACTGTGGAATGCTGAAAATGGCCATAAAGGTGACCTGATTGCCAAGCATCCAACACACAATCACATGACCACTATTGTGAGGGTGTGTGTGCAAACATTATAACTTCAAAATCCAGTCATAAGTAGTTTTTGGGAGGGGTCTATTGTAACTCTGAATGGTTGTTATGCAACTGTTATAGGTCAAGGACTATCTTAGAACAGTAATATGAGAATCATTAAATAAGATCTTCCTTCTTCCATGAGACAAACAATATGTAATTTAATATATTTTATAGAGACAGATAACTATAAGTTATTGTTGCCTCTTCCCATGTAGAGGAACAAGTTCATTTTTAAAATATAATTTGTAAGAATTTCAGAGAATTCTATTTTAGGAATCTAGATAAGAATACATGGGAAGGAAATAGAGACCTAATTGTAAAGCAGCTTGATGGTTTACAGATTTTGATATCCCCAAGGAATGTAATTTTATTCTGTCTGCTTTAATTTTCTTGATCAATAAAGCTTTGACTCTATTAATATGGATCTGTTAAATAATAGCTGTTGGATATAAGAACAAGATGCTGTTTTCATCAAATCTTTTAAACTGAAGATATTCTTCATGGTGATTTTTTAAATTGGTATCACATTATAGTTTTCTTTCAGTACCAACTATAAAACTTGTAAAATATCTCATTTTAATAATTTCAAAATCCCTGATGGATTTTCCTGATAGAACAATTCATTTTTATTTAGTTGACAATAGCTATTTTTAAAGCCAGAGTAGTTTGAAAGTCTTTAGGGGAATATCCCATAATTTTATTTTAAATATTAGGTTTTAAAATATTACAGCACATATATTTTTGTATCCAGCAATGCTTCAATCTATTTCCTTTCACATTTTTCCCCCTCTCCCCCAATAAAATTAAAGTTAACCATAAGGTGAAGATTGTTTAGTCTGACAAAAAGCCATGAGAAGACTTATTGAAAACCTCTCAAAAGATACCTTTTTCAATCTTCAAGGCTTTATATATAGTTTACATTTTTAAATGCAAAAATCGTATTTTTGCTGGAGGCTAAAACATATGAAGAATAGTTGCAGGAATTGGTTCAGTGGTGGGTAGCTACTGGTTTGCCCCAGTTTGTGCGAACTGGTAGTAGCGGCAGTGGGAGGCTCCACCCACCCGCCTGGACGACATCAAATGCGAGCGAACTGATAGCAAAGGTAAGTGAAACCCACCACTGAATTGGATACGTCTAGTTTGATGAAAAGAAGGACTACAGTGACATGATAGCAGTGTTCCAATACGCAGAGGGCTACCACAAAGCAGATGTGGTCAACCTATTCTCCAAAGCACTTGGAAGGAAAAACAAGAAGCAATGAATGTAAACTAATTAAGGAGAGAAGCAACCTAGAATGAAGGAAAAATTTCCCGACAGAACAATTAATTGGTAGAATGATTTGCCTCCAGAAGTTGTAGATGCTCCAACAAGGGAAGTTTTTAAGAAGAGATTGGACAACCATTTGTCTGAAATGGTATAGGGTGTCTTGCCTGAGCATGGGGTTACTCTAGAAGACTTCCAAGGTCCCTCCCAATTCTATTATTCTATTATTCTATTATTCTGTTATATCTCTTTGAGAACAGAAAGAAGCAAGATTGGATTTTGAGTCTTCTGAGATGGTACCCTATTCAAAGAAACATAAATAAATTCTGTTTTTAAAGTTTATTATAAAGAAGTGAAGGAAATAGCATAAATGTTGACAGATGACTTCTTTACTATTTGGATTAGTTTTCAAATCTTGGCTAAATTTTCAGAAAGTTCTGAAAGCTTTTGTTCAGGCCATTAAAAGAGCATAATGTGATTCTGTTTTGAGATATCTTAATACATTTCTGGAATAAAGCATCAGTTTCTTTCACTACAACTGTCAGATGGAATAATCATATCATAAATAAGAAAGGCTTTGCTTGTTGTTCCACAGAGATAGTATTCACCCACACCTTCATGAAAAGCTTCTTACAGCTTTCATCATGGCTACACTTTTTCCTAATGAAGGTGGCAAATGCATGCAGTCTCCAAGTGACCTAGCAGCATAGAGTTGTGTTTATCAACTTTATGTTTCATTTTGCTAAAGGTCTATTTTTTAAAAGCAGCATTGCTTGTTTTTGAAAGAGAGGACCAAGGGAACTTTTAGAAGAATATAAAGAGGTTTTAATTGCTTAGCATTTATGTCAGCTGTGATTTGAAAGGGTTTGACCAGTTATCATCTGAAACTGATGTGAAAAGAACTATAATTTCAATGCTGTCATTTCATAGCGTCAGCAACATTCTGTTTTTCTTGTGACCTACATTTTTTTGATGCACTTAAATATTTGTTTATGTTTATTATACAGTAATGTAATAATTTTAAATGTAGACAGGCAGAATATACCCTGTTTCCCTGAAAATAAGACATCCCCGATAATAAACCCAATCGGGCTTTTGAGTGCATGCGCTAAAATAAGCCCTCCCCGAAAATATTTAAACGGAGAGCTGGAAATCAGGTAAGATGGCAAGAGGAGCCCCATCTTGCTCCACACTCCCCAAAATAATAAGACCTCCCCAAAAATAAGGCCAAGCGCTTATTTCGGGGTTCAAAAAAATATAAGACAGGGTCTTATTTTTAGGGAAACATTTTACAATGGAATGCAAATTACAAAAAGTAACATTTTTTCCTGTAAAGCGCTATGGGGCGGTATATAGGCCTAAGTACTATTGTTATTGGTACTATACTGCAGTCCTGTACAGGGTTACAATTAACCCTTTACAATTTATAAGTACCCTACCCACTGAAAATAAATTATTTCATTGGAACTAGACTCAGTAGAAACAAAATTTACAATGTACCCCTCAAATTTGAAATTATAATGGACCCCTCCCAAGGTGCTTATGACCTGATTCTGGAATTTTGACGACTACCACCACCTCGTGGTCACCCAGCCTTTTGCAGCAACTCACTGTCACGTGACCATGACTTACGTTTTTGATGAAAAGCAGTGTTTATTTCTAGTTTTCAGCAAAAAATGTCCTATAGTGAATAATGGGTTTGCCTAATGATCGTGGCTTTACTTAACAACCACTATGATTCACTTAACAACTGTTGCAAAAAACCCTCATTAAAAAAGGTTGGTGCCATAATGACCCATTTTAT